GATTTAATCGATAAATTGAGAAATATTAAACTAGAATCTAATTCATCTTTAGTCTCTTAGGATGTTATTTCCCTGTTCACTAACATACCTACAGACTTGGCATCTGATAGCGTTGTTAGAAGGTGGGATTCTATTTCCATGGGGGCGAGAATTACATTGGATGAATTTATGATTGCATTCAGATTAATTTTAAATTCTACAGTTTTTGATTTTAATGGTATTTTTTACAAACAAATTTTTGGTACCCCTATGGGATCCCCTTTATCACCCATAGTCGCAGACATGGTGATGCAAGATTTTGAGGAAACTGCGATAGGATTATTGCCGGTTCAGTTACCATTCTATTATCGATACGTAGATGACATTATTTTAGCAGCTCCTTCTGAAAACATTGATGACATCCTTAATATTTTTAACTCTTTACATACCAGATTACAATTTACTATGGAAGTTGGCAAAGATGATAAAATTTGTTTTTTGGATACTTTAATCATTGTTGACGATAGTAACTTAATTTTTGATGGCTACCGGAAAGCCACTTTTTCTGGTAGATACCTCAATTTCCATTCTCAACATCCTGTATGTCATAAAAGAGGGGTAATATATGATGTAATAGATAAAATAATGCGGTTATGCCACCCAAAATTTCAACAGAACAATTTAATTGATGCGATTAATATATTTCTAAATAATGGATACCCTCTTCAATTTATCTTTTCGACCATTCATAATAGAATTAAATATCATATTAATTACACGAATAAAAATAATAAGAACTTTTTACCGAAAAAATTTTTTGCTATTCCGTATGTGAGCTCTATTTCTGAAGGGTTCAAACCTATTGCTAATATGATAGATTGTAAATTGGCTTACACCATTCCTAATACACTTGAAGGTTACATAAAGAAGGGGATAGATAGATTACAACACACATATAATCAGAACGTTGTATATAAAATAACTTGTGAAAATTGTGATGCAAGTTATGTAGGCCAGACTAAGAGACAATTAAAAACTAGAGTCAAAGAACACGTATCTGATATTAATAAAGGGTCGAAATCTCCATCTGTAATTACGAAGCATAGAATCGAAAATAATCATGAATTTGAATGGAGTGGTGTAAAAATACTCGATATTGAGCCTTCATACGGAAAGCGTTTAATTTCGGAGATGGTACATATCAAGAAACAAACACATGGCATAAACAAGCAAAAGGATACAGAG